TAATAATATAAGTTTAACTTTTTTTTATCTTCTCATATTCTTATCTTCCATTTCTTATCTTAATATTCTCAATTATTTTTTAATTTTTATTACAGATATAATATAATATAATGCATTAAACCATACTACATACAAATAGCAATCATAGTGTTCTTTCAGTGGTAATGATGACTTATAACAAATGATTCACCAAGAAACTACTCATTGATTTAATGAATGAATTCACCAATTATAAGAAATCACTTGAAAAAAAAAAGAAAAGAAATTCTTTTGTGATATTTTTTTTATCATCTAATTTTCTTATATATCTTAATATGATTTTATTAAAATATACATGTGACTCATATTTATCAAAAATACCTTCTTCTTTTTTTTTGAAATCTAGATGTTAATAGAGTTTGGATTGGTGTTAGGTACTCCACAAAAAACGAATGCTAGTAATAGTGCTTGCATGATTTTATATATTGAAGATCAAAAGTAATTCACATTTAAAAAATTTTTGCTTTAAGAATTTACTTTAATTTTATTTCTATTTAATAAAATAAAATACCCAAGACAGAATTTTTCTGCAGGCTACAGTACTCAAGATATTGATTTTGAATTTTTTAAAGATGCCTAAACACATTTTTGGTTTGACCGATAGAATTTTGAGTAGGAATTAATCTTATACATTAAATTTAAATAAAATTTTAATTATTCATCTTTTCACTTTTAATGATTGAGATTTATTTACATTTATTAAAAATAATTATTTTTATCTAAAAAATCATGATAAATCTCAATTATTAAAAGTGAAAAGATAAATAGTTAAAATTTATATAAGTATAATATATAAACGTGTGTATAAGTGGATTTCTCTTTTAACGTTTTTAGTTATTTTTTAAAAGTTAAAGGATATATTATACTATAGAACTTTTAACTTATTTAATTTTATGTTAAGAATAATCACACAATGTAAAAAAAAAAAAAAAAAGAAGTCTTGTGCCTAACTAGTTTTAACTCCATTACTTAACTCATCATTTATTTTAATGAGAAAATTCATAATTCATTGTTCAGTCCAAAATCTAACACAATTATCCAACACATTTGTCATTAAATATTAAATAATAAAGTAACATAATAAATTGATAGTTTGGCAAGAAAATAAAGTAATGGGAAAGAAAAAGATTTTGTCCCCGTCAAAAAAATTTCCGGTTAAGATTCTCACTCTACAATTGCTGAGGACGAGGGCAGAGGTGTCCTTGGGACTCTGCATTGCTCTTTGCCGTGCCTTCTTCTAACAACCTGTTCTCCACTACAAAATGAGGCTCAAGTTTTGGGTATGCATAACTCTCTCTTCTTTCTTTGTTACTGTACATGTTCATGGATCCCATGCTATGTCATTACATTTGTGCAGGTAACTAGCTATGCATATTTTGTTATTACTTGTAATTATTTTCTCATTAAAATAAATTAAAAATTGTCAACTAGATAGATGTAATAGATTAAAATCGTAGAAAATACTTTTTTTTATTGAGACTATAATTATTTTTAGAGAATAATATTTATAAATCATATTTCTTGAAGATTAACAGGAAAATTATTTCAATAAACTCTTATTGAAAAACACTAAAATACCCGATTTTTAAAACATAAATTAAAGTTTTTTTTGTCTTTTCCTATAGCATTTTATTAAAATAACATAGTTTTAAAATAATTTTCTTCCTAATTTTTAAGAAATAAGGTGAATAAATACAAACCCCTTATTTTGAATTAAAAGTTTAAAAACTAGATTTGTCATTTAATCATTTTTAATGAAAGAAGTGTTTGATTTTGGAGTTTGTAAACAGTTATTAGTTATTGATTCTAATAAAATGAATTAGATATTTTAAATTATAAAAAATAATTATTATCAACTATTATATATTAACTATCAATTATTAACTATATCTAAACAATTAATCCAAATAACCATAAAGACTAAAAACCTCCTAAATTATTTTTTCCCATATCCTCTAAGCAAAAGTTATCTCATATTCCCACTTACCTTCTAATTTTTTATATAAATCATGTGACTCAGCTGAAACGATTTAAGAAATATATCTACGTATTCTACTCAGGCAACCACGCCATTTCTATAATGAAACTGACGATTTCAGAATGATCTATTACATTATAATTTTTTTAATATGAAATTACTGTAAAAAACAATTTTTTAACATTATTAAACAAGTAAAAACATCTTGCTTCACGTATTGAATAAAATTAATTGCGAGTAATTATTTTTTTCCCAATGTAACTATTTGTTTGTTAACTCACAATTTATTTTAAATTAATTATTATTTTTTTTTTATTTTTGAGGCAAAAAACATTTTTTATTACTTTAATCTTATTATTATAAATTAAAATTTCTTATTCACCTTATTACCATAATATTTTATTTAACTTTATTCTTTTCTTTAGAGCAATATATATACTTTATTCAACTTATCCCTCCATTCAACTTTAATAGGTCTATTTTGTTTTGTCTAATAAAATAATGATGTAATAATTAATTAATTAATTTTTATATTTATCTCTAATTAATCATGACCTAAATAAGTCTTCTTATTTAATATTGTTTATGTTGTAATTTTCTTTTAAAATACAAGTAAAATATAAATAATCACATTAACTAATATCATATAAAATAAAAGTGGATAACTAATTTTAAACTACTCAAATTAAAAATTAGGTCCTAAGTTGAACAGAAGGAGCATATATAAATACAAAAAAAGTCTCCAAATTTTTAGTTTATGAAAAAGAAAAGTAAGAAAACATAATTATTTTGAGATAAGACAATTATTGCCATGTATAATTGTAAGACTCTATTGTGAAATAAGAAAAAAATAGTTTACATACAATCTTTTAGGATAATAATTGGTATATTCTCCAATTCAACACATTGCAAAACACACTTATTAGAAAATCATTATTTCTTAGTTTGAACTTAAAAGCAAAAAAATTTAAAAATATAGTCATGTATACAACATGCATGAACTGATTGAATTAGTTATACTTATATAATATTTTAATGATTAAACTAGACAAATGTTGAAAAGTGGGTCAAACTGGAAGGTGTACTAATCATTTTCTTATCTTTTAACTTTAATTATCTACATTTTCACCAAATTTGTATTTCTTTATTTTTTTTCTTTAGGGTAAT